CATGATCCCAGTACCCTGGGATCGAGTCCCGCATCGGGCTCCCTGCTCCTTGGGAGCCTGCTTCTCCCTCTGCCTCTCTCTCTCTCTCTCTCATGAATAAATAAAATCTTAAAAAAAAAAAAATACTGTAAAAGAAAATGTAATCAAATGGGCAAATGTTCACATTATGTTGGTATGTTAAAAGAGCAGATTATAGGGCGCCTGGGTGGCTCAGTCGGTTAAGCATCTGCCTTCACTCAGGTCATGATCCCTCGAGTCCTGCATCAGGCTCCCTGCTTAGTGGGGAGTCTGCTTCTCCCTCTACCCCCCGCCCCTGCTCGTGATCTCTCTCTCTCTAATAAATAAAATCTTTTAAAAAAAAAAGAGAGATTATAAAACAATGTATCTCATTCAATTCCAACAACCTAACAACAGTAGCTAACATTTATTGAGCTCCTTCCATGTGCAAGAACCCATGCAACATGCTTTACACATATTTCCTAATTTAAATCTCACAACCATCTCTGAAAATTAGATACTTTTACTGACTATTTTACAAGTGAAGAAACTGAAGCTTGAAGAAGTAAACTGGCCACGGGCTAGGAAACAGTGGCAAAGCAGAGCCCAAGAATTCAAACCCAGACAGTCTGATTTCAGAATCAGCACACTTAATTATATACTAAAATTTTAACTGTGGTTCTCTCTGCAGTGTGGTATTATAAATGACTTTTATTCATTTTGTCTGTGTGTGATTTACTGAATTTCAACAATGAACATGAATTACTACTGTATTTTTTTTAAAATAAATGTCCAAATAGAGGTTGGACAATCATCTGCCAAGGCTACTGCAGAAGTGGATTTAAATAATCTCAGATTCCCTCTAACTAAGGATCTGTGACTAATCAATTAGTGACCGGAATGATTTTTTTCAGAGGACTGGCTCTAAAATATAAAACAAAAGTCAATCCGTTTTAAGAATTATAAAAGTTTTAGACTGTCAGATCCTATTTCTCCTGTTTTACAGATAATGAAACAACTCAGAATTTAGATTTACATATCACAAGGTAGTTGAGTCAAGGCAGAAACCAAAGCACAGGTCTTCATTGATCTTTGTTGCCAACATTTGACCAAAACAAAACCTCCTACTTCCATTCTCTACTTGCAAATTCAGTTATAAGAGGCCAAAACTGAAACATAACAGGAAATACAAATGCTCCCCCCCCCCCACTTCAGTCCATTACCCAAAAGGAAGACCTGCCTGGAGTATAAAAAAAACATTTTCCCAGCCCTGAGCTGAGATGGATGGTGAAAAGATATTCCAAAAGTCAGGATGAATGGTTTGGGGGGGAGTGGGGGAGGAGCGCAGGACTGAAAACATATATAACAAGTAAAAAAAAACAGGAATACCCAAAAATCCAATAGGCTAAAGCACTCAAATACTACCAAAGTTTAAAGAGTTGGCTCAAATTTAATCAAATCCTAAATGGAATGTTCTTAGAGTATGAAAACCAATTTTATGAAACTGGACAGTAAAACGCCAAGATAAAAAATGAAATAAATACATAGTCTCACATTTATAATTGTACATTCCTGTTGGTATTCTAACAAACTCTATTCTCTCACCTTCTTATTCAACTCTCTTCACCTAAAAATCTGCAATGAATATAATGCAATGTTATAAAACTAAAATAAAAGGGGAACAATTTTGGGGTGCCTGAGTGACTCAGTCGGTTAAGCATCTGACTTTTGATCTTGGCACAGGTCATGATCTCAGGGTTGTGAGATCGACCCCCCCCCCCCCCCAGTCAGGCTCAGTACTCAGGGCGGAGTCTGCTTGTCCCTCTCCCTCTGCTTCTCCCCCACTCCATGCTCTCCATGTGCACACTATCTCTCTCTCTCTCTCTCTCTCACACAGATAATTAAAATCTAAAAAAAAGGGGGGGGGGAACAATTTTACAACTTCTCCTAACAGCCAAAGAAGCTTTGATAAGGTGAAAAGAATGATAAATAATGAAATCAAAGATATAATGTTTAAAATGTATGTCTAGTTATGTCTATTTCTAACACATGACCAGATGTGTTAAAAGATTTCTAGATACACTCACATGAACATAAAAGGCAAAATGTTAACAACTCAACTTTGAGTGAAGAAACAATAATACATTTCTCACTTTACATATTTGTGCTATCTGTTCAAAAAATTTAGATCTTTTTTTGTAAAGCTTTATTGAAAAGTTACTGCTCTAAGGATTAACACCCACACTCTAGTTTAAACTCAATTAATTACATGTCATATGATTGTGGACAAGTTGCTCTGCATCTCTAGTTTCATTTTTCCTCATGCAAAGTAATAGTAATACCAAACTATATAATAATGTAATAATAATCAAACTATAAAGAAGGGATAGAAAAAATACTGCACATGATGATAATCACAGTAATACATTTTTATGACTTTACAGCTTCCTTTCATGTAAGATTCACACCTAAGACACTAAACAAGCCCAAGATATGAGTAGGCAGGTATTATCCCCATTTTATAGAAGAAAACATAAAAAACTGAAGTTCAGAGAAGTGACTGGTCCAAAGCCACCCTGAAAGCTATAAAAAAAAGGTTTTGTTTTTGTTTTTTTTACCACCTAGTTTACTGTCATCACAAATTTGAGGTGGTTGTTTTCTCATGCCCAAATTACTATGAAGACTACCCAAGGAAAGCTGTCAACAAGTAAAGTGAAAAGGGTCACTTGAGATTCTTATGCGTGGTAATTACCCACAAGGTCACTACCTTTATACATAGTATAAAACTATGATTAAAAATAAGTTAGGTAAGGGGCGCCTGGGTGGCTCAGTTGTTGGTCGTCTGCCTTCGGCTCAGGTCATGGTCCCAGGGTCCTAGGATCGAGCCAGGCATCGGGCTCCCTGTTGCGCGGGAGGCCTGCTTCTCCCTCTCCCACTCCCCCTGCTTGTGTTCCCTCTCTCGCTGTGTCTCTGTCAAATAAATAAATAAAATCTTTAAAAAAATAAAATAAAATAAGTTAGGTAAAAAACCTTTAAAATATATTCCTAAAAGTCCTGCTATTTGCTCAATTAATTTCATGCCTCTGACACTAGATATACCACCCTGCTTGGGGGATGTGAAGTGAAGGGGGAAAGGATTTCATCAGGAAAAGTTAAGTAAGTTCTCTGAAATGCAATAGGATAAGACACTCAAAGCTACAAAATATGAATAGGGGCAGGCAACAGCTTGTAGACTGTAGTGGCAACCTTAAGCCAAACCAAAAGAGAGCCTACCTGTGGTTTAAAGAAAATATGCAATCCGGGAGTTTGCACCTCAAGTTATTGCTACTGCAAAGTAATCAGTGCCATTTATAGTAAAAAACATGTAAAGGTTTAGAGAATAATTCCAATTCTTCATCATAATAGGATGGGATTCCATATTAGCTTGGGGCTTTCTTGTCTCAACAGTTCTTTTGATGATAAAGTCAACGGCTCTAAAGCCACTCTCAGAGAACTAAAGAAGGTAACTCTACATCACTGGCACTGGACATCTGAAGTGGTCAGAGAGGCAGTCTACTGTGCGTACCTTAAGAGACTTTAATGAGGGCACTACCAATTCCAGTTATTCATATTCTACAATGTTAAAATTTTCTTCAGCACAACCTCTCAGAGTGCTGTTTACTGAAGGTTCTGACAGTATGATACAGAATTTTACAGATTGCTGAAACTTAAAATTAGTCACTACAATGTTAAACACCTTAACTTTTCTATTCTTCAAGGTCAAAACAAACTTTGTCTCATCTTTCCCTCTCCACCCGCAAGAAAATGGGGTATTCTAAAAGATCTCAGATAAAATAAGCCAATGCTTTTATAAATACAAGTCAATCCTCTGCAAAGAAAGAGCTTAAGATGCCCATATTCTGCTTCAGTATTGATTCTAAGCCTTTTAACAGTTTAAGCTAACCTCCCCACAAACCTCCCCTTCTACATCTATGGAATATTCTCCTCCTTAAACGTCCTTAAAAAAAAAAAAAGCCTTCTTATACCTCCTGTCCCTTGTCTGATACACACACATAACTCCCAATGAAGAACAGACTGAAGCTGAAGGAACACATCTACAAAATACATGTTCTTAATTAATACACTGCTCACCTTTAAAAGCATGTTGTTAAAATGCAACAATACAGAATCTATAAAGAACCCCAAAATACGAAATTTGAAGACTAAAACAAAAATGCCCCGTAGCAGTCTCAGTAATCCAAAGAAAAAAGATGTAAAAGTAAGGCACTACCGTATTGTAATAGATCACTAACCTTTCCTATAAGCACAAAATTCTTCATGCTAAACACATCAAAAAATAATAATAAAATAAAAGAAGAAGAGGAAGCAGATTTAAGAACCTAATTTCCTATTGTTCAAAATGTCACATATAGGAATAGTTAAAATCAGGGGTGCCTGGGTGGCTCAGTTGTTTAAGTGTCTGCCTTCGGTTCAGATCATGACCCCAGCGTCCTGGGAGTCTGCCTCTCCCTCTGTCTCTCCCCCCAGCTTGTGCTCATGCGCACTCTCTCTCTCAAATAAATAAAATCTTAAAAAAAAAAATCTCTTAAAAAAATAAAATAAAATATAACAATATTGCTGGCCGAATTCACACAATACCTTATGACACTTTTATATTAAACGTCCCAAACTTGAGGAGCCATATAATACATTTGCTATAAATTAGATGATAAAGCAAGAAAAATCAACTACAGACATCCATGATATGTTACATAAGGTTGCACTCAGTACCCTAAGTATTTATCAATGAATGCTACAGTGATGCATGTGTATCAGTCAAGGTACATTTCGGGGGAATATCCAGAGACCAGTCAATCTCCCTTATTTAGTGAAAACACAAAAGTCAATAAGCTGTAAAGAAAATGTGTAAATCTCACATTTACATACTTTCAGATTTTTCAAAGCGCTTTGCATTCATGATCCTAACAGACTACTGCAAAAAATTTCCTTATATAGAAACTTACCACTAAAAGCAAGTGACAAATCCAAGACCACCAGATCTGAAACTTGATTCATAAAACATGTTAGCTCTGTGGGAAGAAATATAAATATGTGCAAGTTCCTCAAAGCTATCACTTAAAAAAAAAAAAACTATTCGTGATTAAAATATCATTTAACTTGTAAGACCTAGGCTATTACAAACACTACATTAAAATTCAGTTATTTCCATTTAAAAGTCAAAATCACCACTCCTTTTAGCCAATCAATCTTTCAATCAGGAATCATATACAAAACATTCCATCAATGACACACTATATGCTCATAACTATGCAGGGCCCTGGGGTGACTATATGACAATTCTACCAGAGGTTTCTTGCTTTTTAGAAAGTTTACACTCTATTTAACAAAAAGAGAAAAGCAAATACTAAGCTATGTTCAATCAACCCTCCTGAGGGGAGAAACCCCAGGTGACAAGCACACCAAGAAGTGAGACTGCAGTGAGTTTAATCTGAAAAGACTTCATGGGGAAAATGAAGCTTGAAGCTTGAGGTGCACATTGATGGATAGGAATTTTAAAAGCACAGAGGACGAGAAAGCATTTAGGCAGGGGCTGGCATCAACAAAGGCTGAGAGGCAGGAATAAGCATGATATATACAGAAGAGACTGAGCCAACCTGTCTGGGACATAGGTGCATGCTGAGGCATAATGAGAAACAGTTTGGTAAATTAAGTGGAGTCAGCTCCCAATGGACTGTTATGGCATGGGGAGATGCTATTAAAATATTAAAATCATCGAATATTTAAACTAGATAGAGAACCTTAGAGATTTTCTAGTTAATTCTTTTCTGACAGATGAGGAAAATCTAGATCCACAGAGATCTAATAATGGCTAGCATAAGGACAGAGGTAGTAAATAGCAGAAAACTCAGACCCCATTTAGGAACCCCAGTTCAGTGATACACAGTACGGTACGACAGAGAAAGCAAATCCTTCCAAGGATCGATGAGCACATCAATATATAAGGATCTGCAAGCACACATACAAGTCAGTACTGTTTTCTTAGGAATTCCAGTAGACTGGTTTCCAGAGGTAATAGAATACCACAGCGGCACTACGGTTGAGAAAAACCAGTGTTTGCCAGAAGGAATCACTTTCAAGAAAGCAGCAATCCACAAGGAAAGCAGAGGCAGAAGCTAGTTTTCAGCTATAAAGGAAATGGGTGGATAAACAGTAGGGGCAGCAGGTATCTGGCAACAAAAAGAAAAAAAAAATGATCCACTGAGAGAAAGCTACAGGACCAAGTAAATGTTTGAGAAAAGAAATCTTAGTAAGCTTGAAGGCAAAAAGGAAGGCAGTCACATAAAGAAAAGTTAAATCAGATGCTACATAAGGTAAGGGGAGTGAGGGAGCATAGAGAATTGAGGACCAGTGGTAAGAAATTTTTTAAAAATATGAGTTCCAGGGATGCCTGGGTGGCTCAGTAGGTTAAGCATCTGCCTTCGGCTCAGGTCATGATCCTGGGGTCCTGGATCAAACCCCACATCGGCTTCCTGGTCAGCAGGGAGCCTGCTTCTCCCTCTCTCTCTGCCCCTGACCCCACCACTCATGCTCGCTCACTCTCTCTTGTTCTCAAATAAAATCTTAAAAAAAATAATTAAAAGTGAGTTCCAGAATAAAGAATAAGCATTTTTTCCTCACCATAAAATACCCCTCGCCAAAAGAGTATTCATTTTCAACTACTTTTAAGGCCTTATAAAAATGGCAGACAAGGCTTTAAGAACAAGGCTAGGCTAGGAGATTTTTTTTTTTTTTTAAGATTTTATTTATTTGACAGAGAGAGAAACAGCGAGAGAGGGGACACAAGCAGGGGGAGTGGGAGAGGGAGAAGCAGGCTTCCCGCTGAGCAAGGAGCCCGATGTGGGGCTCTATACCAGGACCCTAGGCCCATGACCTGAGCCGAAGGCAGACGCTTAACCACTGAGCCACCCAGCACCCCTAGATTTTTTTTTTAATCCAAAACAGCTTCAAAGTTTTACAAATCTATTTAGCCAATTAACATGTGGTTTATAACCTCAAAGACACTTGCCAATCATTTTTAAGATTTATTTATTTATGAGAGCATGTGCACACACATGAGGCAGGTGGAGGGGCAGAGGGAGAGGGAGATAGAATCCTCAAGCAGGGGCGCCTGGGTGGCTCAGTTGGTTAAGCGACTGCCTTCGGCTCAGGTCATGATCCTGGAGTCCCGGGATCGAGTCCCGCATCGGGCTCCCTGCTCAGCAGGGAGTCTGCTTCTCCCTCTGACCCTCCACCCTCTCATGCTCTATCTCATTCTCTCTCTCAAATAAATAAATAAAATCTTTAAAATTAAAAAAAAAAAAGAATCCTCAAGCAGACTCCCCACTTGAGTGTGGAGCTGGATGTGGGGCTTGATCCCAGGACCCTGAGATCATGACCTAAGCCAAAATCAAGAGTCCGAGCTTAACCGACTAAGCCACCCAGGCGCCCCTTGCCAATCATTTTATACCATGTGTGTTTTATACCACATATTCAAAGGGCATTCCAATTAGCATTCAATTTATAATAACTAATATGCAATGATTTCATATCAAAAATCAGAGTTTATTCTCTAATATGCTCTTAAAAATGGGAGGGAGTGTTAAATACTGTTTTTACTTGACCAGATACGGAAACTATAAATGCTTAAATGAATATATTTATGACAAATCATTTGGGGAATACCTTTTTTTCCAATTTCTTTAAAAAAAAAAAAGGAAAAAATCTACAAATAACCACAATTTTCTTACATGCCCTTTCAGAAACAAAGTCCTACTGGGGTGCCTGGGTGGCTCATTCAGTTGAGCATCCGACTCTTGATTTTGGCTCAGGTCATGATCTCAGGGTCATGAGATCAAGCCCCGCATCTGGCTCCACACTCAGCAGGCAGTCAGCTTGAGATTCTCTCCCTCTCCCTCTGCCCCTTCCCCAGCTCTCACTTCCTCTCTCTCTATCAAATAAATGAATCTTAAGGAAAAAAAAAAAAAGAGAGAAACAAAGTCCTACAGAACAGGTGGGGCACACAGAGCTAGGTGGGGCATGTAACAAGATTTTCTATAATTTGTTAAGTAACCTAATAAGCCACAATTTACAGCTACACACCTAAAATTTGCCAATTTCAAACTTACTATTCAGTACCGTAAAGGCAGGTCACAGAGAAGCAGAAGATATAACTGATACATTCATTCACCTTTCTGGCCTTCCATCTTTGCAACTGCCATTTCCCTAATCAAAGAGATAACTACGTTTAAAATTGGTAAGAATCATTCAACTTAGGCCATAAATATTACGTTTAGGTGCAATACTAGCATATTACAGCAATTTCATTTACCACTTGGAAACAAGGACTTAAGCTCAAAACATCAAGATGGAACACTACCACTTCTTTTAACAGTCTACCGCATCAAGTTGCCAAGCAATACCCATCAGAGTACAAAACGTTATCAGCAATGGCTAGCAGTGCTTTTCTGCTTTAATCACCTTAAATGTTAGAAGGCCAACAAAAACATCAATTCAATCATAAACAGAGTTGCTACCTTTAGACTTGCACATGCTCTCTGGCTCAATATACACACGTCTTACTTAGCTCTAATAAAAAGCAGCCTGAATCCCTCCGGACCCAGTGAAACAAAATATAGACAATATATCCAAAACTTAAAACTTTTAGAAAGAGCTGAAACATTTAAGACTCTTATACAAATACCTCTCACTACATGTAGAGCTTTCCTTCCCCTCAATAAAAATGTAAACTCTTCTCTCAACTATACTTAACGGGTTATTAAAACAAATCCTACAAGATACTTTTCAGAAAAAGTATTCCTGATTGTGCAGCATTCGATACTTTTCATACTGAGGCTCTTGTTATTATCTGCTATGTGACCTTGGAAAGTCATTTAATATATCTGTGCCTCAGTTGTCTCACTTTCCAACCTCAAGGTAAACTCTAATCTGAATTAAACATTTATTACTTCTGTAGTAAGTTAAGGTATACAAAGAAGTACCTTATATTAAACACTGAAAACCCTTATACTTTTGTATCATAATCAGTGGGCTTTAACCTTGTAAGAGAAAAATGTGAGGAATAATTTGCCCTATGTATCTTTCTCTTAATTACAACATAAGGAATATATTTTTTAAAAAATGCTTCCGTTTAAAACTCTTATGTTCTTAATTTTTAACAGATGGTGGCAAGTTTGATCCCACAATATTCATAACAAGGCAAACAACAAAGCCTAAGGTCCTTTAATGCTGGAGACCTAAAAGAAGGAAATATTTACTTGCATTACTGGGCATATAATCAAAATCATCCTTATTTTAAAATTTAGAAAACTATCTTTTTCTTATGTAGCAGATAAGCCTAGAGATCAACAGGCAAGAAGAAATAAAGTTTAAAAACTGGGAAAAAATTATTTAAAAAAAAATTGGAGAACAATGATGGTGTGAATCCTTCAAATTCCTGCATCCAGATTATGCTGTCCACAAGGCTCAGCTTTGGGGTTCTTCCATGTGCTTTTTAAATCCTTTTTCAAGATTACACAGAGAAAGTCTTTTCTCTCAAGTTTTTAATCTAATGCTCTATCAATAACAACCCAAATAAATGCAGTAACATTTTACTCCCTCAGATAGATTAGTAGTACACTTGGTTTAGATGCTTTTTGGTCTGGAAGGAGAAGAATGGGTGAGACAACTCCTGCAAGCCCCTGACAGCTTTGTAATTCTATTTTATCTCTGTAGTTTCTTCTCAATCCTGCTCTCTATTCCCAAATATCTTTCAGGTAGGTCAGAAACACTATGAGTCCTGTAAGGAAATGTTTGTGGATCCAATAAAAGTGGAGCCCCCCTCCCCACTCCATTCAGCTCCCATGATCACTTTTATGATTGTATCCAGTAAACAAAATAGATTGATTCGATCTTAAACAGTTCCCTCATCACAGGAAGCCCAGGTAGAACACACCTGCAAAAAGCATCCCTTTACACCATCCCCAACTACCTACAGCAACACAAAGTTAAACTAATTCCCACTGACAAAAGGCTTCGTGTGCATTCATTCTGATCAGCCCCAGGATTCAGTGTGTGAAGCTCAGGGAATAAAAAGGCACCTCCCCAAGCTATGAAACTTTTTTTTTCCACCCCAAATATTCTCAATGAAAGTTCTCTTGTCAACCAAGAGGTGAGAGTTAAAAACAACAAAATACTAGCAGAATTATGGGCTCCAGGACCACATCCCAGCTGTCCTTGCTCTCTGTTGTCAGGGACTCAGATGCAGTTTCCCGCTTTTCCTTTCATCCTTCTCCCCTTACTCCCCAAGATTCTCACTCAAGAAAGCAAAATTCACATTCTCAGACGCTGGCAAAATAAAGGGCGAAACTGCAATTACCAAGGAAGAAAAAAGGGAAAGATATTTCAGAAGCATAAGGGAACGAGAACCATGGTTTCTACTACAACGGCAATGTAAATGTCAGTCTTGTCTCATCAGGATATGGGGGGGGGACGCCCATGTGGGGTACCAAAAAGATGTGCAGTGTGTGTGTGCACTTGGAGCTCTCGGGGCAGGCAGAGACAAGGGAGCAGAAAGTAAGAAAACCTGTGCTTTCCCTGCTTGCTTCTACTCTTCCCCGTCCAAGAGAGGAAGCTGAAGAAACTGGGGGAGGGGCGGGATGTTATCGTTCTCCTACTGGGGGTACACAAGACAAGCCTGGGGGTTCCTTCAGTTACCCCCAGTTCAGAGGTCCACTGAGGTAAGGGGAAACCCCTAAAGGTTACCCACTTCCGTTCAAAAAAAAAAAGTAAGGGGGGATAATTAAATCCAGATGGAGAGCCCCTGAAAGCGCCCCCAGGTCACTCATCCTCATTAGCAAGCGGAAGGGCTGGGATAAAGGGGATGGAGGGTCCGAGGGGTGGTCAGGGAAAAGGCCCCACCCCCCGACTTAGGAGGGAAGGGGAGCCAGAGCTACCAGCCGTCCCCTCCTTCCCCGCACCTCCCCCTAGGCCACCCCCTCTGGTTCCCCCCTTCCTTTCCTCCCGAGCCCGAGGCAGCCGCGGGGGAGGCGGCTGCTCCTTCCTCCCCTCACCCACTCCGCCCCCACCCCCACTTCGCTCCCACCTCCCGCCCGCCACGGGCCCGTTACCTGCTCGTCGAAGCGGCTGACCACGGCCTGGACCCATTCCACCGGCCTGTGCGCGGCCATGTCCTCCCCGCGGCCGGGGGGCGGCGGAGGGACGGGCCGGCCGGCGCCCAGGGCCGGGAAGAGGGCGGGGAGCGGGGGCCGAGGTGAGGGCAGAGGCGAGGAGAGGGTCTGAGGAGTGCAGGCTCCGAACGTTCCCACGGGGGTGGGGATGGGGGGCCTGCGCCGAGCCGGGAGGGGGACAGGGGAAGGGGGCGTTGGCGAGGAGGCAGGGGGAAGGGGGGCGGGGGAGGGGGACCCGGGGAGGGGAGGGGGCCTCTTGGTCGCTCTCCCCACTAGCGCCGTCTCCCCACAGCCATCACAGTCCGAGACGCCGCCATGACACCCCACCGGAAGTGGGATCCTTTCCACGGCCCGGGGAGAGGGAGAGCGAGCGAGCTAGAGACTGAGAGCGCGGCTGGGAAAGGGGAGGGGGAAGCGAGAGGAAAGGGGGCCTGCCGCGCATGCGCCCGCGCCGGCCGGTTTCATTAATGAAAAAGCGAGTCCTCCTGGAGGTGACGTCACCTAACTCCTCCGGGCCCGAAGGCGTGCGTCCCTCTTCGCCGCCGGGCTCACCTACACTCTGGTTCTGGGTTCAGCCGGCGAGAGTCCGAGCTGACCCGGGAGCATCCGCTCGCATCCCCACCGCCACAAGAGGCTCCCCCTCCCCCGCCGGCCTCCGGGTTTGGATTGCTCCCCAGGTTGGAAGTTAGGGCGCCCTAGGGCTAGCGTTTCTCCCAGCGCGATCTCTGCCTCTTATCTGGGGAGGCTGTGCACAGTCCCTCTCTGCCTTAAGCTCTCACAAAAAATAAAGCACACAACCTCAGGTTTCCAGGTCCTTCGTAGCTAGTAAAAACTGGGGAGAAACGGGGAAAAGTAAGGCCAAGGGAGATTCAATGATTTTTTTTTTTTTAACGGTCTCTTAAATCCCAGTGCTAGACCCGATGGCAGTCAAAGTGCTCAGACTCCGGAGTGCAGTCCGGACTTCCTCTGCTGAACTGATAGGCACCCAAGTTAGTAAAACTTTTGCACAATTGATAATTGATTGAAGTTGCACCATCCTCAATAATCCCCTAAGGGCTTCCCATACATCATCTATTCAACATTCATCATCTCATTTAAATCTTTCAATGAGCCTTTCCAATAGGTATTACCCTCATCTAACTGATGAGGCTGGGTCACAGGAGGTTCTGAGATTTGCCTAAAGCAGAGTTGGTAGGTAGTCAGGATGCAAAGCCAGGAGGTTTGACTCCAAAGACAATAAAGATAGGCTGTGGCTCTCCAGAAACAAAGGCGTTCCCCATGCCCCTAAAACCACAGTTGAAATGATTTCAAGTGAAATGGGTCACGAAATTGGTTTTCCAGGAAGAGGATTACATCCAAAACTATGATCTATACTGGACATGAACTTTGGAACGAGCTATTTTTAAGTTTATCTTCCTCAATACACTTTACTTAGGATACTCTTAAAATGAGTTTACACATAGGGCGCCTGGGTGGCTCAGTTGGTTAAGCGACTGCCTTCGGCTCAAGTCATGGTCCCGGAGTCCTGGGATCGAGTCCCACATCGGGCTCCCGGCTCAGCGGGGAGCCTGCTTCTCCCTCTGACCCTCTCCCCTCTCATGCTGTTTCTCTCTCAATTAAATAAATAAATAAAAAATCTTAATAAAAAAAATGGGGGCACCTGGGTGGCTCAGTTGGTTAAGCAACTGCCTTCGGCTCAGGTCATGATCCTGGAGTCCCGGGATCGAGTCCCGCATCGGGCTCCCTGCCCGGCGGGGAGTCTGCTTCTCCCTCTGACCCTCCCCCCTCTCATGTGCTCTCTCTCTGTCTCTCTCTCTCAAATAAATAAATAAAATCTTTAAAAAAAAATGAGTTTACACATTCTGAGCACACACTAATTAGCCAGTTAGGCCACATGGAATGATACTAATTGGGTGACAAGGCAGAGCAAAACTAGTATTTTACATTTACCACAAAAAAATCCTCTAAGCCAGTATCCCATGCACAGAGAGAGATATCCATGAGAGACGTTTCCAATCTTTGCTGATTGGTGATTGTCCAAAATACATATTAAATTTATATTTCATTCCACCAGAACAAGAGGATGGGGTCTAGGCTGTTCTGTAGTCCATTCTTTAAGGATGCAACATGAATACCAACTAGTTTCTTTTAGATGATGTCAGAAATGATGGTGACAATGTTGAAGAAAAGGATAAATATTAAATGAATATCCATCTATGCCTTTCCCAACTAACACCTCTGAAAAAGCTCTCACTCATACCTCCAGAGAGTATCCCAATGCCTCTACTTCACTGCTAAACCTCCAGACCCACAATCTTCCTTTCCTTTTCTCATGCTTCCTCTGAAAGTTCCTAATTACTTTCTTGTTGCCATGGCTCTTTGTCTGTCTATTCCCCTCATCTTAGCTAGCCTGGATGCAAATGTCCAAACCCTCAGCTCCCTTGGCTCCACTGGCATTCCATTCCTGAGGTCCCTTTGTGCTTTTCTTTCCTCTCTCTGGTTCCCCATTCCCCATTCCTCTGTAACTCTAGGGTGAGAACATTCAAACTTAAAGCCTTGGCCCTCTGCTCTTCTTGCTTTACTCAGGATCCAGCCAGCATTAATTCAGTAATTCATCCTAATCTGCACTTCCTGTCCTGTTGCCCCCCACTGACTGCAAAGCATCTCATAACACTGAGAGTGTTAACACTAGACTCACTCCAACTTCCTCTCCAATTAAACTCATTGAATTCTGCTGAACTAATACTGAGCACCAAACACCTATTATATATACTATGCACTGTGTCAAGCAGTGCATAGTACAGTAGGAATTCTAAAAAATGCCAAAGAGGGTAATGCAGAGACACTGTAGTGAACTAAAGAGCACATCCCCCGGCCCCACCCAGTTAAAGGGGCAGCTGTCACTCAGCTTGAGTTAGTTACCACCTTGGAATATTGACAGTGTTGCTAGATCTTCTGGTTACTCAATAGAAGCTGGAAATCTGAACTTACATATAAACTCTTCCAGTTTTTACATAGTGGCAGCCAATTCACATTTTTTAAAACTTTGTGCAGCCAAACAAAATATGTTTGCTATCTGAATTTAGCCCATGGAGCACCGGTTTGACTAGCTCTGGTCTAGTGGAAAGACATGGCTTCAGAGGAGAACAGAATTAGATCATGTCCTAACATCCCAGTTCTGCACTGTCCAACACAAGAGAGTTCAGGGGAAATACTAGCATTTGCTATAGTTTTAAATGTCTCGTGCTTGTCAAGTATATTAAATAAAAAATAGTAAAATTAATGACAATAAAATGCATCGCTCTCCGTTGTACTCTGTTTCTTGGTCACACAGCAGTCTCTGCCAATTTTGTCTCCCAGTGTCTTCTTCTGGAGCATTCCCTCCACTCTACCCATGCCCCACACCTCCAGGATCCCAAGGAGGGCCAGGCACCTCAGAACTAAGGTACCCACTTCCCTAGCTGCTGGGAGCATTAGTGGCCCACAGCTTTCCTCTGAGTCCCTTTCCAGAAATTGCCCTGAGCAAGAGAGCTACCTCATGCCAGGTCACACCAGTCTCAGGAGAAACTGCACAAATGGCTGGAAGATTGCAGGTCTCAGGTTGGCACCATCCTAAAGCACTCCAGAGCCCTCATAAGGGATCAGCTCCCAGGGGGTCAGGAAGAGGATTTAGCTGTGACTGCATTTAGTTCAACTTCTCTTTCTGCTCTGTCCTACTCCCTTAGTTCTTCACAGTGTGGTTCCCAAGGGTATTACCTAATAAATTTCCTGCTTGCATATCTCCATTTTGGAGTTGGTTTTCCAGAGAATCTGAACTAAACCAATTAGTCCCATGAGTGTGGTCTGATCCAGTGGAGCTGAATCATCCACTGGCCAGGTGGCAGTAAGGCCCCAGGTGAAGCCCTTGATAGGCCCTGGCATGCTGTAGCTCTACAACTGTGAAAGCTGTCAGCAGGGGGGATGGAATGGGATGGAATGCACAGGTAGATGTAATCTATCAGGCCCTTTTTTATATATGGGAAAAACAGAAATTTAAGAACTATAAGACTGGACAGCTATTGATGGAATAAGGCAGTGAAAATTTGAGGCTGGTTAATCACCAATTAAAGGCTAAGGCTAGAGTGCCTCCTTAGGAATATATAAATGGGGGAAGGGAAGAAAACGCTGAGGATCAGGCCCAGAATTTAATCATAAGAATAGTAGCACTCCAAACAGGTTGAATTCTCAGCCCTGGCAAGTCTTCCATGTCAAGATCAGTGCCATGGTTAGAAAGAAGTGGGATCCTGACACTTTGGGGCATCTGGGTTGATATACTTAAAAACCTTAAAACCCTACATCACCCTAAACACTCTGGGTTTATAGAAGTGCCCCACTCCCCCCTGCTTGAAAATGTGAAAGTGTCTACCTTACAAGGCAACTTACATCCTCCTTAGGATCTACCTGGCCCTTTCTTCCTGTCTACCAGACCAATAATTGAAATCAAGTCACAAAATAACCCCACTGTGCAGATGCTGGACCTGCCAAAGAAGGGGAGAGGCACTACACTGAAGGGGCTAAAAGAGGTTGCTAACATGTATATACCTCTGAAGCCAGGAGCCTAGGTACAGGATTGGGTCCCCAGGTACTAAATTGGGGAGGGAGGATGGAAGAGGAGAACACAATGCTAGACAAAGCAGAGTTTATTGGTATGAGCATGTCCCTGTACTACGGTATTTACATCCTAGCAAGCCCACAGGAGATAATGCTAACAGGTCACTAGGAGGTTTCCAGGAAGCTTAGAGAAAGCAATGGCCCACACTAGGTAAAACAGAAAGGCCAGAGCCATCATAGCTGGGAATAGAAGAAGGGAGAAAAAGACTCAGAGAAGTAGGCATGCTAGAGTGGACATACCATGCACATCCCACCAGCTGACAAGCAATAAGGAGTGTGCTAGTAGAAGAGACATCAGCATCACTGAACAGCTCAGTGGTGGCTCCCCTCAAGACCAGGGGTAATGGCAGGCGATCCTGTTACAGAGCTAGGCTCCATGACAGCAGTAGGCTTGATAGGATCTTGAAGAAATAGAGCCCAGGAGGCAGGACTTAACCAACAAAAGCAAGATTAAGCCCCATTGTCAGGAGTGGTCCGATTAGAGAAGCAGCCTAGGGGACATGACCCGCAGAGAGTTACGGAGATAGTCAATAGAACACCATGTACCGAGAGGAAATGGACATGGGCGGCCAGCAGGGTTCAATGTGTACACCTTTTAAAACTCAAGGATAGATGAAGAGGAGGCTGAGGGAACCTGTCCTAATGAAAAACCACAGTCCCTTGCCTGGTTTCTGGACCTTAGCCAGTTTTCAGACCCAGAACCTGATGACTAAAGAAGACTGTGTTCCCAGCAAGAATACAGAAAAATGAGTC